GGAGTACAGATAGGTGCTTCTGTGGATGTAAAAGAGACTCCAGGATGGTGTGTTGCCTCCCTGGTGCCAGGGTCCAGGATGTCTCTGAACGGGCAGAAAGCATTCTGAAGGGAGAGGGTGAATAGCCAGAGGTCATGGTACATGGTACAAATGACATAGGTAGGATGAGTGACGAGGTCCTGGAGCAGCAGTTCAGGGAGTTCGGTAGAAAGTTAAAGAGCAGGACTTCCAAAGTTGTAATCTCAGGATTACTCCCTGTGCCACATGCCAATGAGGCTAGAAACAAGAGGATAGTACAGCTCAACACGTGGCTAAACAGATGGTGTAGGAGGGAGGGTTTCAGGTACCTGGGCCATTGGGATCTCATCCAGGGCAGGAGGGACCTGTACAAGAAGGACGGGTTGCATCTAAACTGGAGGGGCACAAATATTCTGGCTGGGAAGTTTGTTGGTGTCACTCAGGAGGATTTAAACTAGCTTGGCAGGTGGGTGGGAACCAAAGCAAAGGTAAGTGGACTGAAAGGGAACTACAGAATAGGGCCAGTAAGACTCAGAGGAAGAGTATGAAGGGTGTGGTTACTGATCAAAGCAGGTCTGGTGAACCGAAGTGCATCTGTTTCAATGCAAAAAGGTAAAGCAGATGAATTTAGAGCTTGGATTAGTACTTGGAACTATGATGTTGTTGCTATTACAGAGACTTGGTTAAGGGAGGGACAGGATTGGCAGCTTAACATTCCAGGACACAGATGTTTCAGGCGGGATAGAGGGGGATATAAAAGGGGTGGGGAAGTTGCACTACTTGTTAAGGAGAATATCACAGCTGTACTGCAGGAGGACACCTCGGATGGCTCATACAGCGAGGCAGTATGGGTATAGCTCAGGAACAGGAAGGGTGCAATCTCAATGTTTGGGGTCTATTATAGGCCTCCCAACAGCCAGCGGGAGATAGAAGAACAGATTTTATAGGCAGATTTTGGCAAGATGTAAAAGTAACAGGGTTGTTGTGAGTGATTTTAACTTCCCACATATTGACTGGGACTCACTTAGTGCTTGGGGCACAAATGGGGCAGAGTTTGTAAGGAGCATCCAGGAGGGCTTCTTGAAACAAGTATGTAGGTAGTCCAACTAGGAAAGGGGCCATACTGGACTTAGTATTGGAGAATGAGTCTGGCCAGGTGGTCGACGTCTCAGAAGGGGAGCAGCTTGGGAACAGTGATCACAATTCAGTAAGCTTTAAGGTACTGATGGATAACGGTAAGTGTAGTTGTCAGGTGAAGGTGCTAAATTGGGGGAAGGCTAATTACAATGATATTAGGCAGGAGCTGAAAAATGTAGATTGAAGGCAGATTTTTGAGGGCAAATCAACATCTGGTGTGTGGGAGGCTTTCAAGTGTAAGTTGCTGGGAGCTCAGGACCAGCATGTTCCTGTAAGGATGAAGGATAAGTATGGCAAGTTTAGGGAACCTTGGATAACGAGAGATATTGTGAGCCTAATCAAAAAGACAAAGGAAGCATTTGTCAAGGCTAGGAGGCTGGGAATACACAAAGCAAGGGTGGAATACAAGGAATGTCAAAAGAAACTTAAGCAATGAGTCAGGAGGGCTGAAAGGGGTCATGAAAAGTCATTGGCCAACAGGATTAAGGAAAATCCCAAGGCTTTTTATACATATATAAAGAGCAAGAGGGTAGCCAGGGAGAGCGTTGGCCCACTCAAGGACAGGGAAGGGAATTTATGTGTGGAACCAGAGGAACTAGGTGAGGTATTAAATGAGTACTTTGTGTCAGTATTCACCATAGAGAAGGACTTGTTGGATGATGAGTCTGGGGAAGGGTGTGTAGATAGTTTGGGTCATGTTGAGATCAAAAGGGAGGAGGTTTTGGGGTCTTGAAAAACAATAAGTTAGACATATCCCCAGGGCCTGATGGGATATACCCCAGAATACTGAGAGAGGCAAGGGAAGAAATTGAGGGAAATCTTTGTATCCTCACTGGCTACAGGGAGGTCCCAGAGGAATGGCGAATAGCCAATGTTGTTCCTTTGTTTAAGAAGATTGGCAGGGATAATCCAGCTAATTACAGGCCAGTGAGCCTTACGTCAGCAGTAGGGAAATTATTGGAGAGGAGTCTTCGAGACAGGATTTACTGCCACCTGGAAATCAGTGGGCATATTTGCGAGAGGCAACATGGTTTTGTGAAGAGGAGGTCGTGTCTCACTAACTTGGTTGAGTTTTTTGAAGAAGTGACGAAGATAATTGATGAGGGTAGGGCAGTCGATGTTGTCTACATGGACTTCAGTAAGGTCTTTGACAAGGTCCCCCATGGCAGGCTGATACAGAAGGTAAAGTCGCACAGTGTCAGAGGTGAGCTTGCAAGATGGATAAAAAACTGGCTCCGTTATAGAAGACAGAGGGTAGCAGTGGAAGGGTGCATTTCTGAATGGAGGGCTGTGACTAGTGGCGTTCCTCAGGGATCAAAGTTGGGACCTTTGCTGTTTGTAATATATATAAATGATTTGGAGGTAAATGCAACTGGTCTGATTAGTAAGTTTGCCGATGACACAAAGGTTGGTGGAATTGTGGATAGTGATGAGAACTGTCAAAGGATACAACTGGATATTGATCAGTTGGTGACTTGGGCAGAGAGATAGCAGATGGAGTTTAATCCAGAAAAATGTGAGGTAATGCATTTTGGAAGATCTAATCCAGATGGAAAATGTACAGTAAATGGCAGAATTCTTAAGAGTACTGATAGGCAGAGGGATCTGGGTGTACAGGTACGCAGGTCACTGAAAGTGGCAACACAGGTGGAAAAGGTAGTCAACAGGGCATATGGCATACTTATCTTCATTGGCTGGGGCATTGAGTTTAAAAATTGGCAGGTAATGTTGCAGCTTTATAGAACCTTAGTTAGGCCGCATTTGGAATATTGTGTTTAATTCTGGTTGCCACACTACCAGAAGGATGTGGTGGCTTTGGAGAGGGTACAGAAAAGATTTAACATGATTTTGCCTGGTATGGAGGGCATTAGCTATGAGGAGAGGTTGGAGAAACTTGGGTTGTTCTCCCTGGAACGACAGAGGTTGAAGGGTGACCTGATAGAGGTCTACAAGATTATGAAGGGCATGGACAGACTGGACAGTCAGAAACATTTTCCCAGAGTGGAAGAGTCAGTTACCAGGGGCCATGGGTTTAAGGTGTGAGGAGCAAGGTTTAAAGATGATGTACGAAGCAAGTTTTTTACACAGAGTGTGGTGGGTGCCTGGAACGCGCTGCTGGGGGAGGTAGTGGAAGCAGATACTATAGTGACTTTTAAAGGGCATCTTGACAAATACATGAATAGGATGGGAATTGAGGGATACGGTCCCTGGAAGGGTAGGGTGTTTTAGTTGAGACAGGCAGTACATTGGTGCAGGCTTGGAGGGCAAAAGGGCCTGTTCCTATGCTGTAATTTTCTTTGTTCTTTGTTCTTGACTGTGTTCTCCTCTCAAAATCAGTCAGGACAAGCTTACCAGCTAAAATAGATACAAAATGCTTGAATCAGAATATTAACATTTAAATGCCATTTTTTTTTCTGATCTTCTCCAACGCTGGAATAATCCAGACATAACTAACCACAAAATATTTCCGAATTCATGAAAATCTTCAAAACAGTACAAGCTGAGTAACTTGCTTTGGCTGAATTGTTTTGATGTCACTCAAGTAAATATATAATGCAATGCAAGAGTTGTGAATTTTCTGGGCTATGTATATTTTTATTAACTTTAACACAAAGCGAAATGAAAGCCACAGTGCTACAATAGTTCAATGCTGTTATAGACCCACGTTCCATTGACTTCCTGCTGTAATATTTATCAACTTATTTGCTAATGGGAAACATAATTTGATATTATCTCTACCACAGTAACTACTATCAGGAGTATGCAGATCTCAGATTTGCAGTAGGCGTAGAAGGATAGGAACAAATCTTCCAGTATAAGTGTATATACTTTACCAGGGCTGCAACATTAAACAAATGAGGATTCAGCTGGTTACCTGATGGGGTACTAAAGTATTAAATATGTAATCAAGTCATTATCCCAAAATATAGCTGCCTGATCAATATTTGGAATCTGCTACAGTGAGGACCATTTCTTCTGTTTCCATTTGTATCAAAATCATGAGCGTATGTTTTATATTCCTGTTTAAGATTTCAGCACAGGTCGTGCTTGGGAAAAGGCTTCCAATCAAAAAGGTAACAAATGAAAAGTGTGTCTTGATTGAATTTACTTCACGTGTCACTTGACATGAAGTCATCGCGTACAATATTCTGCCATCCAAAATATGACTGTTAACTGCGACTATTTAATAAACTGGAGGTATGAAAACATGCAACAGAGTGAGGAGAAATAACAATCTGCTCAAGGCAAACACATTTTGAAGTACATCTGTTAAGAACTGGAACGTGTCTTTATTGCAGTCAATTGTGCTAAACTTGGCACATTGATGCTCACTACTGACTCTGAAACCAAGAAGAAACTTGCTATTGTTTTCTATTATCACCATCCGTCTTCTTGAAAAATGTGAAGGAAGTTGCTAAATGCTAACGCTTGTACAATGTTCCAACAGAATCGTTGATAAAATAATCTATCAAAAGGGAAAAATAAACCAACTGAATAATCTACATAAGCACAAAAATTTTCTGTAGAAAATAAACAGTTCCATAAGAAATTATATTGCTATTACATTACATTACATTATATTACATTGCTAAATGTTAGCAAAGATGTAGATAACAGAGTAGAATTTCTTTTTATTCCAACAGTCAATTATTTAACTGCAAATTGCAGATGGAGGGAAACAAACTCTATCGACAATCAGATTGTTCTGAGTTACAGAAAATATTTTACTTTATACTGCATATTCTTTGGACATGATTTTTTTCATTTGCTAAGGATTGAAAAGCAGTTGAAAAATAATAATTAAAAAGTCACATTTTAATTTATCTTTTATTATCTGTCCCCAGTGGAATTCCAGGAAAGAAATGTGGGGCAATCATACTGTCGGCTGAAGAACTTGGTAATTGTCGGGTGAGTAAAAGGTTTTATTGTCACAAAAGAAAGTAGGATTAGAAAATGCCTCCTGAGTGTAACTATTACTTTAGAATGTCATGTCACTCTGTACTTTTGTATTTCTAAAACCATTGGAAGTTATTTTATATTTATTAGCCATATGTGACTGTCAGTTGAGAATTGGAATGGAAGTGCCCCACTCCTTTGGTACTCAAGGTCATACCATGGAATTCTAAAGCAAATTGCACATGGAGGACTGTGTAACTCACTGTTTCAATTGAAGGCTGTTTATATGTCCAAATCTGGATTCAATGCTTGCTGAAGAGCCTTTTTCTCAGCTTTAAGATGCTAACGGGCAGCTATGCTCATTCTGCCTAATTGTAGCAGGCACTGAATGGACCTCTGACCAGCCAATACTTGTAAATCACTTTCCCAACCTAGAGCTGGCCTGACTGGTATGGTTCTGTGTCTGAGCAAGATGAGCCCCTGCTTTGCTGTTACTTTCAGGTCGCATTGGAGTATCCAGTTGATGCCACAGCATGGCATTCACTGGAAAGTTGAATGGTCACTTCAAGTGGACTATGTTTCTGCTCTGCCAACACCATGTCATTTCAGCAGAAATCAACTATTACCCCCAACATCTTTTTGGTTGAATGTTTGAGCAATGGAATTCATTTTCTATCGAGCCATTTAATTTCAAACTACTTGCACTGATGAACTCAGATTTTCACTGTGACAGAGAGCTTCTCCATGTGGCAAAAATGGCCAAGGGCATTGGAAACCGTAAGTTCACCCTCTGAGCCCCACATTTGTAATTTTCACAGGGCCAGGCTGGGGCTGGGGGCACGGGGAGGGTGGTGTGTGGCCTGTACTTCATGCATGCACATTTTGCAAAGCCAGCTAGAGTTTTGAATGACTCGCTGCCTCTATTCAGACCAGACTTTGGAGTCCCTGGTGACAGTAGTGTTCATGATAATCCCTTTCAGAATGAAGCAACATATTCTCCGAAGATAATATGTGTGTTGTGATTGTAATGAGATCAGCCAGGTGGATCTCATACAACATGAGTTCCCTGATTGGGGCTGTTAATCTCGTCCAATCAGGGAGCCCTGGCTGACAGGTTTTAAAAGAAAAGTGTCAGACATGCTGTGACTCTGAGAGGTGGCTCTAAGGGAGCTGGATCAGTGTCAAGGTATTGCCATGTGTAAGTAAAGGGTAACTTGGTGACAGGATACCGGCCTCTGAGGAGTTATTTCAGTGTGATTGATGCTCATTGGAGTATTTACTTAAGGGTCAGTCCACCCCAGATCACCATTTGAGTTGGTGACATGCTAATAACAGGGAAGGCCAATAAGAAGTACTTAGAGAACCTGAACATAGTCCTTAGATGTTTCTTCCAGGTGGGTCTATACTTTAGAAAGGAAAAAAAATGTGTCTTCCAGGCACACTAAGTGATCTACTTGGGCAACAGAGTCAACAAGACTGAGTTACATCCTTTGGAATATAAAATGGGGGCTGGTAAATTATTATGGAAAGTTCAAACATAACCTGGTCTCTATCCTACCATCTTTGCATTGATTCTTAAAAAAGGATCAGCCTTGGAAATGGTCACGTAGCCAAGCCGTGGCTTTCAAGGAAGTGAAAAAAAAGTTAACAAACTCTAAAGTGTTAGCCCACCGTGATCCTAAGTGAGATCCAGTATTGACATGCAATGCCTCCCCATATGGCATTGGGGGATTATTAGCTCATAGGTGGCCCAATGCAGAGGAACGTCCAATAGTGTATACATCCAGGAGTTCAGCTAATGGAATGTGTAAATAAAGAAAGAAGGTATGGCAGTCATACTTGGAGTCAGGAAGTTCTACCAATACCTTTACAGACATAAATTTGTGCTAATAACAGACCACAAACCCCTTCTAGGTCTATTTAAAAAGGACAAGGCAGTGCCACCCAAAGCTTCAGGTCAAATTCAGCAGTGGGCTCTAATATATATAATTATAAGTTGGAACACCATCTGGGAAGTCAAGTAGTGATTGTGGATGCATTGAGCCACCTCTTGCTGACAGATACACCACCGGTAGTACCACCATTGGAAGAGTCCGTAATAGTTTTAATTTTTATGCACACACTTCCAGTCATAGATGACAATCTGTGGAGAACAGCATATTATTATGGGAAGGAGGTGTGATTGTCCCGAGCAAAGGTCACCGCTAGATGCTGGCTGAACTACACCAGGGTCATCCAGGGCATTCCAAAATGAAAACATTAGTGAGACATTATGTCTGGTGGCCAGGAATGGATGTGGACATAGCCACATTAGTGGGGCAGTGCTCAGAGTACCAACAGGGATAAAAAATATTGTCAGCAGCTCCCCACATACGTGCGAATGGCTTGGAAAACCCTGGACCCTGTTATGTCAACACTGCAAGTGCTTTCATGTGCTCAATGTTCTTAGTCGTTGTGAATGTCCACTCAAAGTGAATGGATGTGCATAGAGTTCATTCGTCAAACATGGGGGATGACGATGGAAAATCTGCATACATCTTTTGCAATAGGCAGATTCCCAGAAGTGTTGGTCACAGATAATGGGCCATCATTTACCAACAAGGAATCTGAGTATTTCGTAAAATTAAATAGCATTCCACATAAGGACAGTTCCATACCATCCATCCATCCAATGGTCTAGGAGAAGGAGCAGTCCAAGCCTTGAAGACAGATTTAAAGAAACAGCCTACAGCTTACTAGAAACAATGCTGTCCCGGTTCCAGTTTGATTATAGGATGACCCCTCATGCAACTACAGGGGCACATACAACAGAGCTGCTAATGGGGAGAAGAACTCCGCACCAGGTTAAATCTGATTTTCCCAGACCTGGCGGGGGGAGGGTTGATAGGGCAGAGAGTGAAATGGCATCAGGAATCCAGTGCTGCACGCAAAATTCTGCAAAGCAAAAGAGACAGTTTAATTCGGGGGACGAAATTTGGTGTAGGAACCACAGGAATGGCTCTGTTAGGCGACGTAAGGTCAGGTCTAGTGACATATAAAGTTTGGGTAGGTGTGACAGCCCTGAACAAGCAGGTGGATCATATGAAAGCTGCAAACTCGCAAACAGGTCAGGAGCGAACCGTGCTCTGCCCCATGGAACATTTGGAAAGGCTGTCAGAACACGTGAGTTCAAGCATAGAAGAGATCTTGGAATCTGAGATAGACACAGCAGATGTTGCTGCCTCAACCCCTTTTTATGCTGAAGAAGAGAATGGATTTCTTCCAAGATTCTCCTGGTGCAAGATGTAAACTATTGTGTATTACACACCATCGTATTCGAAGCAGAGTTGGAGGAACATGAACCGGTGCTAAAACGCCCCAGAAGGAGTTCCAGAAAAAAAACAAACCGGCCTATATCTTGGGACTCAGAGCGAAAGGGATGCAGGATTGCAGTGTGGTCAACCAGGCGGACCTCTTAGAATATGAGTTCCCTGATTGGGCTGTGAATATGGTCCAAACATTTTTTTTAAAATCTGAAGTGTCAGACATCCTGTTCAGTCTGACAACTGGCTATGAGGGAGCAGGATCAGTGTCAAGGACTCTCAATGTGTAAATAAAGGGTGACTTGCTGATGGGATTCTAGCCTCTGTGGAATTATTTGTGTGGTTGATGCTCATTAGAATATTTACTTAAGGGTTGCTTTTCTCCAGTGAGGTGAGTTAATTAGGAAGGGGTGAGGACAAACTGGAGTTAATATTGACTCCTGCTTCAATCAGTTGACAACTAGCAATATAACACCTGGTGTCTGGAACTAGAGTGTTTAGTTTGGATCAGATAGGAGCAATTCTGTTCTCAGTGTATTGCTTTTAGATAGTGAGGGTACCTTTAGGAGAGCTGAGGTACCCCCCTGGATATAGTCCCAGAACACTTTGGGGACAGGGGTCAGAAATCCCTTGTGGAGGGGGATGGGAAGTCAAGTGTCCTTTGGGATTGTTAGCTGTGCACAAGATTGTATATCAAAGATGCATAAACTGCTTGCAACTATCCAACTTGATGAGAACTGTGTCAAGAAGTGTCAAAGTGTGTTTTTATAAATGAGGGTGCTTTGCTCAATGGAGTGCAGTCTGTAATGCAGGGAGTCCATTTTTAGCGTTCCCCTATTTAGTGTTGTTTTGCTTTAATTTTGTTAAGTTATTCGTGCTTGAGATCTCACTGAGGGTGGCAAGATTCAGTTTAACTTGTTGACTGTACTACTTGATCTAATTGAGGTGGCCTCGCACACTCTCAGACTTAAGACTGCTCCTAGTGGATGGATTTTCCCCATGATGCATCACTGCCTAAGGAGCCCCTACCAACCAGACTCTAAGGAATGCCATATGTATCTGACTCCAGTTTTCATGGTTTGTGTTGATAGCAATGTTTCACTTAATCATTTCTCTTAAAGTTGTGATTTTCAGGAATGCAACCACAACTTTAAGTGAGGACTTTGTGTATAGAACTTGAAGTAATACAACTTTTTTCTTTGTTTTGTATATGTGGGTGTTTGGTGAGTTGGTGTGGTTGGTTAGGGGGGATAGGATGGTGGGTGCAGGGATGTACTGAGGTTATTTAAAGGATGTAAGGGGCTAAGAGGGTTGGATATGACAGCATAGAGAGTATGAGGGGTTATGATTAGTGGACAGAGGGCTTTAGGTGATATGGGGTCTACATGAGGTTGAAGGAGGTGTGAGGGCTCAGAGAAGTATTCTCTATTTTAAACCCTTAATTTTTGTACTCCATTTTGAAGCCCTGATGCAGTTTCCCTCTGGAATTGATAAACTCCTCAGCTCTGATAACCTGGTCCAACTCTCAATGCAGCACAAAGATCACTTGTCTTTGTTTCTCTGGTAACAGACTGATAACTGGTTTTAAGCAGCAAACTATTATTAAATCTTATTTCTAGAATTTTATTAATGAATCACCTTGTAATTGCCTCATTTATGAAAACATTACTTGTGATGCATATTTCCCAAGACGATTTTCTGAAACAAGCA